TACTATGGTAAGTTTTCTCAGGAAATGCAAAGAAACGAACTAGAATCCGAAATTTTTTTTCTAATCATTATGTACAATTTTGAGCTATTTATTAAAATTTACACTTTAATTACTCGAAAAACGTAAGATTCCATGTTACATTGATAAACAAAAAAATTACAAGTCGAAATATACTATTATAATTAACAACCAAATAAGTTAATAAAGTTAATATTTAATAAGACATCTACAATATTTTGAGAAAGTTGTAGAATCTTCTTTCGTTTCTTTGCATTTCCTGAGAAAACTTACCATAGTAATGTATATTTTTTTACACCATCAGAAAGTAGAGATTTCAACGGAGAAAAAGCCCACCGACGTTTTTAAAAAAGCAGATATTTTGGAGTAAATTTTGAGGTTATGTGAAAAAAGTGTAAATACAAAAGTTGTAGATCTTTTTATTACCTACAACTTTGTCATTTAACTTTTTTCCATAAGACTTGTAGTTTTTCTGGAAATCAAGGGAAACCGTTTTTTACCCTTAAAAACTCACCCCCTACCCCTTCCCGACCTCAGATCTCCCGTAAATTATTTTCCTTTCATTTCTGTTATATTCTCTTTCTTTTCCAATGGGTTTCATCCTAATATAATTTTTTTTGGCTTCAAAAATTATCGCCCCTGGTCTATGTACTGACTATTATGATAGTCACCGCGCTTAAATCGTCTTGATTCAAACACGGTTCAAACGATCTCAAATATAAATTAAATTGTTCTATGTAACACAATTGTCTTATTTTATTACAGTTTTCGAAAAAATATTGTTTGCATCTCGAAAGCGAAATACTTTTACGTTCTCCAAAGGATATTTAACTTCTTGAACACAGAAGTACCATTTCGTGTTCAAGATATGAAAATAATTATTAAGTCGTATTTTGTTTTTTTCTACGCCTGAGATATGAAAATATGTTTAGAACCCAAAGAAATCAAATCTGTATAATCTTATCCAAATCAATATATTTATAGACATGTCCTACTCGAATTTCTGCTAATCTCTTTCTAACAACACTACTCAAGTGGAGATTTTGTAGATACCCATCTATATAAGGCGCAGATTTTACACAGAAGAACTCATTGTCAGTAAAGCTATACCCCAAGGATACGAACTGGCACCGTTAGATTCTTACGCCCACGCTTACCCCTCCTTGATAAACTCCTCTCATGAAATTCGCCATAACATTGATGTTCTCGATGACCTCTTCATCAGACAGGAAGCTTCCCAGGGCGTTTCTGACCTTGAAAGCGATCGTCCTAAGGAATATGTCGAAAGGTTTTAGTACAACCGAACGTCCTGTCGTCGTGGTGGTCTGGAACTCCAAGGAAAGGAAACCTTTCTCTAGGACTTCTTCATAGGATAGCTCGGTGTACGGCCTGAAGAGTGTAGGATTGGATACATTGTCTGAGTATATCTGAAAGAAGTAGAAGAAATTCTCGATGTGCGTTGTAATTTTCAATAAAATCTTACACGAATCATGTTCTTGGAGGCGTTTGTTAAGTCGGCAAAGGTTTCTATGGTGAATATCATGGGAACCCCATATTTCCCCACAGCTTCTCCTATTTCGTTCCAACCAAAAACAGTCGAACTCGAGTTTTCCACCAGGGGGAATCCACCTTCATCCACAACTATTGTCACCTCGGGATCTACGAGGCTGTCGACGTAGTCGACGTCTATACAAGCCTTGTACGCACCTCTAGCCTTCTTCAAGGCCACGGGATCTTCTACAGCATCGTTCGAAGATAAAATGGCTGCGAACACAGAAGAAGGAGTTAGATTTTGAAGACCGCAGTTTGCGATTGTCGTTACCAGTTGCAAGCTCGACTAGGGAATTTTCTAGGAGGCTGAATTGGTCTATCACGAGGGTGTCACTGGGTAGGGGGTGTACGGTTGGAAAGTTACCACAGACGTACTCGTAGAAATCGTCACAGGGGTCTACGCTTCTGTTCATGTACTGGAGTTCGGGTATTTCTGTAAGAGAAAAACGGTGACGAATTCTTAAATGTAAAAAATTGAGTTGGTGTAATGGTTGATGCATTGGAACGGGTTCCGTAGCGATCCCTGAGGTGCCCAATACTTATCTACACTAATGTAAAAATTAAAGTGTACAATTTTTCCGTGATTTTTAACAGACTGTATTTAGGCGAAAAATGGTCGTATCGCGAATTAAAAAAAGAGCATTTTGAAGCTCTAAGATTCCAGTTTTTAGATCTTTCGGTTGAAATGTTTTAGGAGTTACGGTTATCATGCAATTCTAAGAAATATCGAGACAAAAAAAAAATTACAAATTTTCTTTTTTTATTTTCGGAGTTCGCGGAATTGGAAATTTTTCAGCTAAGCCGTTGCATGGACTAGATAGCTTGTTTACTCAGCTTCAATTTAATTTTTTTTAAATTTCGATACGATCATTTTTCACCGAAATATCGGACTTTTAATGGAAAAGGATCCTTTTGTCTTCAATATCGATATATCGGCGACAAATGGTAGTGCAGAAAATTGAATGGCAGTTTCGAAAACTGGAATAAACCCACAACATGCTGCCGCAACTTTTCGGAAAACAATTTTTTTCATCTTTTACACGAATTTTGAAAAACAGGAAAAACATTTTTTAGAAAATTGACGACTACATTAGAAATATTCACGAAATGACTAATGTTAAGCATGACTTTTACAGTTCGATATACTCAGAAGAACCCTGTGAAGTTTCATCTCGATGTAGCGAACAGTTTCTTTGTTTCAAACAGTCAAACTTTTGAAAAAAATTAAAGGATCACGTTTTTTGAGTTTAAACATTTTATAATCATGATTAAAATGAAAAAAAAAATTTTTTTGAGGTTTTATCACATTTTTACCGAAAGTAACGTTTAAATTGATGAAAAAAAGAAAAAAAAATTGGAAAAAATTTTTGAAATTTTTCGAAGTTATTTTTGTTTTTTTTTAATAACCTTTTGAGTGTTGAATAAAACAAAATCCAATTGTTTCCAGCACGATTCGGCTTTTTCGTTCTATACTTCTGTTCATCAACTTTTAATTAAATTTATTCGGGCTAAAAAATAAAAAAAATTCCAAGTTGCAAATTTGAAATTAAAAAAAAAATGATAGATATCAATGTATTATTATGAAATCTACCTGGAAAAAATCAACGCGATTGTGGAAGATCCTCGGGATCGTCCAGACTAATAATTAGTTAATTTGTTTATAGAGTCATAACTTGTAAACTATTCAACTAACCGATTCCAGATTTCGTGTGAGCTATTAGACAGTGACAAGCAATGAGAAGATGCGGTGTCAAAACGTTCTGGTAATAATAACGCAATTTATAAATGTTTAATTCAAAAGTCATAAATAAACTTCTTCTGTTTATAACTTTTGATCTAATCAATATTATTTTACGCTCGAGGGCTAGTTTTGTAGGACTTTTGAAGACGAAAACAAAAGTACTTTACTGGTTTCTCGTGGAAATGAACGTAAAAAAGTTATAAGCGAAAAACTTGAATATACGTAAAAATTATACAATTAACCACCCTGTAAACAATCTTCCCCCCATTTTTATGACTGTGGAAACTAATATGTTATTGTACATAATATTTAGCTTGAATAGTGATAAATTCAGCTTGCCGAGACAAAAAGTCGCGAAATGGTCATTTCCTAGCTTATTTTCCTGGCCTAGTATACCAAACTGTAAAAGTCATATTTAACATTATAGTCCAGGCGCTATCTGTTTTAAAAAGGGTATACTTGGGTAAAACGCATATGATCGGAGATTTTTGCTCTCTAAATAACATCAGAAATGATAATTTTTCTATGCAAATAAAAAAAAACGTGTGCTTAATTGTTATTGCAAAAAAGTATAAAAAAATAGCAAAGAAGTTCATTTTTTCTTGCATTTCTCTTCGACAACTTAGCAACTATTCATTTTAGACAAAAATGGAAGAAGAAAAAAGGTTTTGTAATTAAATTTTGAACAAGACAGAGTTAGACGCAATTCGAAAAAATAATTATTGCTATTGCAAAAAATCGGAAAAATCATTTAAAAAATTGCAAAAAATGGTAGTTTATTTGTCAGTTTTTTTCAGACACTTGTATAATACCTAGTACCTTCATACTTTTCCCAATTAAACTTCTTAGTGTATAGAATCATCACACCAAATATGATGCAATTCGGTTCGATAGTTTTTACATAATAATTGTTTAATTTTTTTTAAATTAAAAAATTTTCAAAATCAAATTTCTATAAATCTAAAGCCTTTGAATACTTGAAAATTTCACCACAAAAAGAAGAGCTCTCAAACTTTAAAATGCTTTTTGAAAAATTCAAATCGGACTATTAGGTGAGCCGTGGTGATTGTTTAAACATTTTCGCAATTTTCATGCTTATAAAAAATTGCAATAATTTAATGTTTTTTTCAAATTTTTTTTTATTTTAAAATATGGTTTGAAAGTACTCGGAAAGACGAGTATTTAAAAAAAAACTGATGATCCGCCCATTATTTTCGGAGTTATAGCCCGTTAAAGTTAACCCTTATTTACAGCAAAACTATAAGGGTATAAGGGCTGTTTTCTGAATTAGGGTTAAGGTTTGTCTTTCCGAGTACTTTCCAGATATAAATTTTCAAAATTTGTAATCACGGGCGTCCCATTTAAAATGTCACAACAAATAAAAAAAAATTGTAACATTTTTTTTTGTCGCGCTATTAGAATTGCATGATAACCGTATAGCCCAGTCATTATAGACATGAAAGAGCCTGTTTCGGGAAAAAAATATTATTAGAAGTTTCTCTGCGGAATATTGTTCGGAAACCTGTTATAAATAAAATATAAAAAAATCAGCTCGAGGCTAGTTGGGAAACTTTGTTTTAACAGTGGTCAAAGTTATGGAAAAGTGGTTTTTTGACCCACGTAAAAAAGCTATTATTCATAGCGAAAAGAGGTTTATACAAAAAAGGTAGGTATTAAATAAGCCTATAAAATGAAAAAAGTCCGATTAAATTCCGATAATTTGTTTATGCACAAGAGCTCAAAAATGGTCGAAAATTGCCGTTTTTTTCAATTGCTAATAATTAATGCAATTTTCATAGCAAACACTTGTAATTCAGGATTTTTTAGGCTTTTTACACCCTTAATAAATGGTAAAAATTTCAGCTCGAAAGCTTCATTGGTTTGGCGTTGGCGGAATTAGTTATCTAAGAAGATGCTATTTTCAATTCATTTTTCCCAAGCTCACAGGCGTTGTAGGGTTTTGATCATTAGTTGTTTTTGTACCTAAATAGTTGTATTGACATAGACATTCACCGAGAATTTAGTTTTTCAAATTTAATTTGTTTAAAATTGACTGTAAAAATTTTAATATTTATTAAATTATTAAGGTAGGTAATTATTATAAAATAAAATAGTAACCTCTTTACTTTAGTTTTCTTCGAATTTAAAAAAAAAATCGTTGTTGTAAGTTGATTAGAAGCTGAGATAATTGTTTTTATTTATTTAATCGCAGTGACCTTAATTATTCATATTAAGAGCCGAAATTTGGAGAGAGTATACAATAAGAGCTATATTTTCATGTCCTACATTAACATTAAGGTGAATTCAACTATTTAATTTCGAAAAAGAAGATAGCGGCGATGCGTTCTATTACTTGGTCTAGCGAACGAGTGGGGAGAGCGAGGCGGAGCATACGCGCTTAACAATGGAGCTTTCGGGCTGAAATTTTTACCACTTATTAAGGGTGTAAAAAGCTTAAAAAATCCTGAATTACAAGTGTCTGCGATGAAAATTGCATTAATTATTAGCAATTGAAAATAGCGGACAATTTCGACCATTTTTGAGCTCTTGTGCATAAACAAATTATCGGAATTTAATCGGACTTGTCTTATTTTACAGATTTATTTAATACCTACCTTTTTTGAATAAACCTTTTTTTCCTCTATGAATAACAGTTTTTTTACGCCAGTCGAAAAACCACTTTCCCATAATTTTGACCATTGTTTTAACAAAGTTTCCCAACTAGTCTCGAGTTGATTTTTTAATATTTTGTTTATAACACGTTTCTGAACAATATTCCGCAGAGAAACTTCTAATAGTATTTTTTCCCCGAAAAAAAGCTATAATGATTGGCCTAGTAGCACCTAATATATTTCGTCTGAAAGATCTAAAAAGTAAAAACTAGAACCTTAGAGCTTCAAAATGCTTTTTTTTTAATTCCCGATACGACCATTTTTCACCTAAATACAGTCTGTCAAAAATCACGGAAATATTCCGAGAATTCTATTGACCTTTTAATTTTTTGCATTAGTCTATTGAAAACATCCTCTCCAGTCAAGATCATTATTGAAATAACAACATTTTTTTTAATTTTAAACTATCACATTCCGTGAATTTTTATCGTTACTATCGCTATAGAATATACATACAAAATGCGTCATATGAATAGAACTGAAGTGTCAAAGTCGACACTTCAGATAACACCTCAACAAATCTGAGATGAATTTAATCGATAGAGTACTTCGTAGTGTCTTAATTGATGGGTAATTTTGCACTTCGATCACAGTAAAATTAAAAAAAAAATGTACACTTCTTCAGTACCAAGCAAAAAATACTGACAAATTGTTTCAAAACTACTGTCTAGTTTAGTTCAATGTGAAAGGTCTGTGAACTATCCATGAGGCCCAATAAAACATCTGAAACGCAGCAGAATGTGATAGGTTATTCATTTAATTACAGTTATGGTAGACAGCAGACATCATGTTCTGTGGGTATCAAATCTGGATGCCTAGCAGGCTACCATAACGCGTGAGTTTCCGCTGCGAAAAAACTGTGATTTTTTGTGATTTTCAGATAGAATACGACATATCTCACTCACCACTCTCATCCACTTCATCATCAGCGGCATTTCCAATGATCAGGCAACTTAAAACTGCAAATAACACCACTATCGTCTTCGAAATGTTGATCTTCATCGTTTATTCCATCTGACTGATGTTTTCTTAGTTTTGAAACCTATTCATACACAATTCGAATTGATAAGATAAACAACCGACTAATCTATTGGAGTTGATTGTGAAATTTTTTAGTCTCACATCCAGTGAAGTGGAAGGTTAAGAGAGAAAGAAGCCATTAAACTTTAAATATATATCTTTATTCAATCTAGATAGATGTCACTACATTCAAAGCGTGAATATAAAACAAACGTAACAATCCAATTCCATTTTGTATAACTCTAGAACTATTTTTATAATAATTTTTTTATTTAAAACAACAACGAACAGCCATAAAACAGTTGTCTACTATCAGGTAACCTGGAAACATAATTTCAACGCGTAATGGTCCTTAATGCGCGTTACAATTACTAGCGGGCTCAAAATTGTTCCTTGCGGAACGCCAATTCAACACTTGCGCACGTGCCTTTAAAATTACGTAAAATAGTAGATATGCTAGCCTTATCCTAAGTTTTTGGTACAATTAGATATTTGGCAACACCAGTATGATATATTTTAAGTGGGATATGACACTGAAAATTCATAGGAATACTCTTTCTTTAATAACCGATGATTTCCTCGTCCTCATCGTCGTAGCTGTCGTCTGTACCGGGCTCACCCAAAGCGTTCACGAATTCTGAAACAAGAGCGTTTAATAGAGGGTTCAAAGCTGTTCCCTGTGGAACACCGCTTCGTTTGGACGGCTTGTCTTACCGTAGAAGTCTATGCGACCGTCGCCGTCAACGTCTACCTCTTTTATCATGTCTTCGACTGCAACAAAGCAAAAAAGGTTCAAATATATTATTTTTTTTAACTGAATCCTTACTTTCTTCTTCCGAGAGATCTTCTCCGAGACACTGCAGCACAGCCCTCAAGTCCGAAGCCGTGATATACCCCCTGTTGTGCTTGTCGAAGACCCTGAACGCGTCCCTCAGCTCTTTCTCTTCTTCTTCCCTCGACAGAATGTGGTCAGGGTCTGACCCAGCTCCTGCGGACCAAGCGATGTCGACGAACTCCTCGAAACTTACGTTACCATCGCCTGAAACAGAAATTAAGTCGTGGTGTGACACAGGGTTACCTATTGGGGTTCGTATCTATCAGAGCGGTGCATACCGTCTACGTCTACCTCCTGGAGCATCTGTTGGAGTTCCTCGGTGCGCGCGAACTGCCCCAAGGATCTCATCACCCTGCCTAGTTCTTCCTTTGTTATGCTCCCGTCTCCGTCTTTGTCGAAGAGCCTGAAGGCCTCCCTGAACTCTGGAAACGTAAAATAGTCGTTTTATTTTGCTCTTCCGTGTTGTAGAATCTTCGCAACAATTAGCTTTTCAGATCAAGTGATAAACGGTTGCTTCAAATAAGTATTATATCACAAATAGTACGTCGCAGGAATAAATGCGATTTTTCGAACGAGTAAAGTGTATTTAAATTTGTTATTAATTGTGAAGGAAGTGTGAGGAATGAATTAGTGTTAGTTAGACGCGTTAAAGTGTTCTCTTTTCGTTATGGATTTGGTGAAACTGCGACTAAAAATACGTAACGAGAAAAGCAAATATTGTTAAATGATTGAAAATCGATCGAGCAGCGATTGTCCTTGAAATGAGATACAGACGAATGAAACGCTGGGAAATTGGCGGTTCCTTTAGGCTATACAGGGTGTTCTACAATCTCTATGACAGTTTGACAGGTAGTAGCTGGGTTAATTTCAAACATTTTTCCTCAAATGAACATAGGTCCTATTCGTTTTGTTTAGATTTTACAAGCATCTAAAAAAATATAATTTCATATAAATAAAAATAATATAGTCCAGGCGATAGAGCAGTAAAAGTAGGTTTTGGCGTTTGTGTTTGAAGTCATCTACGTGTATTTTGTTGTATAGAAAAATCCCAAATATTATGTAGAATACGAATCCTAGTTAGCCTACTCCAAAAAACCATCGCTAATTTCAGGGGAACAACAAACATACAAAAAAAACGAAAAATTACCCTTTTTTCAACATATTTTTACCTATAACATTGAAAGTACGCCCTAAATAAAAAAAGTCAATTTTTATTTTTTGTTTATTTGACGATTTTCTATAAAGGTACAACTTCGAATCCAAAAAGTTTAATGTTGTATTAACAATGGTCGAAACATAGTAGAAAATCATATGTATATTTGGAGCAATTTTTAAAATATGTAAATATTTATAAATATGGATGAAACTTTGTGAACAAATAGTAAAACATTTGTCAATTCTTCCCTAAAAATTTTGCAACGATTTTAAGGGTAACGTTGCCGATGTTCTTCGGAATCAATGGCCTGCACATGTTTCAGGATGTTCTAGTTTAAAAAACTGTGCAATTTTATCAGGAATAATAGAAAGGGTATTTTTGCCGACTGGTTGGTTGTAACTTCTACCTGCATGATAGCGAATAAAAAAGGTGAAATTTCAGTTTTAATTTCCAATCTAATCTTGATATATTTTTTGAGAATTTCTAGGTGAGAAACAGAACTAATTGTAAACGCATGTGACATACCATAGGCCGGTCAAAATAGACATTTCAAATAACGAAAATTCCGACAGAGTTAAATTTTAGTGGAGACCTTGGGTACACCATTAGAAATAAAGTGTAAAAAGTCCCCATCGATCCCATGTGTGCTGAAAAAGTTATTCAGGGTCAAAGGCCAAAATTTTAGGATTTTTGGATTTTTTTCGAAGACTGTAAGTTTTATCAAAAAAGTAGTCCCGACAAAAATTATAGATCTTAAGTTATCTACAAAAATGGTCCTTATACTTTTTTTTCTAAGAATCACCATTCCTGAGATATCGCAATTTTAACAATTGAAGGAGTCTCGTTCTACATGATATGCGCATACAGGGTAGGAAAGTACCGATGGTCTATCTGAAGTTACGTGAGAGCGATAAAGTAAGCCATAGAAATCCATGCGATAGAGAAGGATGGCTATAATGAAGGCGCCTCATAGACACCGCCCGTTTCGCCCTTCCACAAATAAGATCCACTTCTTATTTGTGGAAGGGCGAAATGGGCGTTAAAATATAATAAATAAAATGTTATACACCACGCAGCAGTTAAGTATAATTTACCAGTCTCGGACTCTATTGCCAGCCCTCGCTCCGCTCGGGCGCAAAATCATCCTCGAGTGGTAAATAATACTTACATCCTTTATGGTGTAAATAACTATTTTAAAATGTTTATAACTTCTAAACAAAAACAAATCGGACCTATGTTCATATAAGAAAAAACGTTTGAAATTAACCCAGCTATCATATGTCAAAGTTTGTCTTATAGAACCCCCTGTATAAATAAATGCCAAGTATTTTAAAAGCAAATTTCCAAAGTAATTAATTTTGATTCTAATTATAATAATGCGCTAGCACAGTAGATATAACGAGTATTTAATAAACAGCAACTATTTAGCACTTTTATTTTGCTTCAGTATACACAGGGTGTCCCACGAAAAAGTGCCAAAATTTTAATCACGTATTTATATTTATTAACAGCAACAACTTTTGCAGAATAATAAAAGATGAGAGCTGTTGCTTTTGTAGAATTAAATGGGTGGTTAAAATTTTAGCGCATGTTACTGGAACACCCAGTATATTAGGGATGGTAAGTTTAATAATGCAGGGTAGCTTCAATATGTGATATCTTGGTTTGTCTAATATAAATCGAAATTTTTCTCTAAATAAACTAGAAAACCACATCCCAAATAAATCAAACACCATCGAATTGCCACTTTCTTTCTACACCAATGATTTTTTTTGGTTACATTGTGTGTAAAATTGAATTTCGAACAAAACGATTTATTCGAACATAAGACTTGCTGTTTTGCATTTAAAAAAATATAAGCTGAAACTAGTTGAAAATTCTAAGGCTTTTTCATTGATTGGTTGACACATTTGTACACCAATTCAGTGGATTTAACGAATTTAATTAGATAAATTTTTAGCCCAACGGTCAACAATCAATAATCTTCAGAAATATTTGAATAAAAGTGAATTTTTTATTTATACACCCTGTATGTCAAAAAGTAGTGATTGTAGACCTTCGGACGAGTAAGGCTTTTCGGACTGTGCATTTTTTATACCTTTCATTTGGCTTTTGGACACTCCCGAATGCCTGGCTGATAGACTGACGTTTCTGACATAGTCAGCAGGTTTTCCATTCTCTTTTGGCGCCTCTTCCGCAGTGCCATTCTGGTATCGCGGCGAGATCGGGTCTTCCTGCGGAATCTCGACCTGACTGGTCTGTCGAGTCTAGAAAAACAAATTTAATCTACAATTTGTCATTTCGCCAGAAAAAAAAATACATTTTCAATTGGAAGCAGCATGTTGTAATACCTTATGCAACCAGGTATACCACCACTTGTAATGAGTGTTGCATCCGGCGGGCAGCTTTCGCATTTAAATTTAAAAGATACTACAATTCTTTTAGAAAATATGTCATTTGGCTTAGCTACGTAAAGACTACATTACAACGAAATGTAACACATAAACTTTGTTTAGAAAAAAAAAGCTGATTACAAAACGCTGAGTGTAATTATTTATGCTGATTGCAGCACTGTTTATTGTTCATTGTAGGAGCAATGTTAACAGATTAAACTAATATACAGAGTGACCATATTATAACGCTATTTAGGACACGACTAGAGCACAAAGCTAAATAAACAATTAAAGTTCAAAAAGTCGTTAATAGAAGAAGATAAAACTTACTTCTGGAGCACCTAAATCCGAACAAACGTGCTTCACACCCATAATTGACGCGAAATTAGGCAAAGACTTTGCGAAGGAACACTTCTTGGTGAATTGATGTTAGGAGGCGCATTATCCTCGGTTGTTTTTTATTTACACGATAAGATAACTTCAAGAGCCACTTGAGACTATTTTTTTATATATCACGTGGTGCTCTTATGGGGCCTGTGTTGCAGCAGGATATTTGCAATCGATTTTGTCGCAGAAAATGCGATTTTGTTTTTTGAAAATAGAATCGTTTTATCTAAGTTTTATCTGCGATCTAGGCCAAGAAATCAAAGATAACTGCCGAAACGTACTGTTTCGGCAGTTATCTTATCTTTGTTCAAAACAATAACACTCGAACGAAAAAAGCAATAAACCGAAGTTGAAAAATCATTAAAATTGTTACTTTATTTTAAAGTTTTAAGCTAATTCAAATATTATAATTTTATCCACGCGAGAATGTTTAAACGCGAGAACGTAGCTTGAACGTTCAATATTCTTAAGTGGATAAAAGTAGCAATTAAAACACGAATTCAATACAACGTTTTATCCATAATCACATCACAATCATATGTGGAGTTAGAGTTATTGGAATTTATAAAAAAATATTCGCACGACTTGATATTTCTTACTATATCGAGACTTCCCGAAGCAAGAATTCCCGGGAAATCTGGCCTTACTCGAGACGAAAAAAGTGTCGAGAAATCGAGAAATTTAAAAAACACGTTCTTGACTGGAGTTCGTTTCGTTCATGTGTTCAATTCGTTTCTCGACAAATAACTGAACGGTTAAAGTGGTTTCTCTATCAGCTCATGATTTATTTATTTTTAGTTTTTATGGCTTTAGTTTACTTTGATGATTCTTTTTTTTTTAATGTACAGGGTGATTCATTATATTTTGACCCCCCTTTAACTTTTTTGTTTTAAGAGTTATAAAAAAATTTGAAATACAAAAGTTGCACGATTTTTTGTAAAGTTTTCGAAAATGATAGTAGAAAAACAAATGAAGTTCAAACAAAATGGCGGCGGATGTTAACTTTGTTAATTTAAATGGAACACCCTGTATATTTTTACACATTTGGATAGAACGTTTCTTGTCGAGCATAGTCATATAGGGTTTGTTGGGTCCATCTCTGAGAGATAATATCAAAAAACGAAATGATGTTTTTTTATTAAGAAAATAAGACATCTTGTAATTATTAGACCTCTTTCAGGCATTTCTGCCTTTTTTCCAATTACGTAAGGATTTAGATTTATTTGCAATATATTTTGACATATCGAACATTGATATAGTCCAAAATGGGTATAAGTATTTTAACTAAATCGCACTAATTAGTCCGTGAGGGGCTTATTTACTCATGGACAATGTTATATGGTAGGCCGTGACAGTGACAGGTAATATTATGACAACATTGTTATTGTTTGACAGTTTGTATTATTATTTATTTAAAATGGGTTACACAGAAGTAGAAAATTTAAATATTATAGGAATTAAGATAGAGTAGTTAAGATATTCTCCATAGTTTATTTTAATTCCTAATAATATTTCAATTTTCTACTTCTGTGTAACCCATTTTAATTAAATACTAATACAAACTGTCAAACAATAACAATGTTATCATGACATTACTACCTGTCACTGTCACGACCTACCATATATAAGATTGTCCATGAGTAATTGGCCTCACACGGTCTAATTAGTGAGATTTACTTAAAATACCTATACGCATTTTGGACTATATCAATGTCCGATATGTCAAAATATATTACAACTAAATCTAAATCCTTACGTAATTGGAAAAAAGGCAGAAATGCCTGAAAGAGGTCTAACAATTACAAGATGTCTTATTTTCTTAATAAAAAAACATCATTTCGTTTTTTAATATTATCTCGCCTATTATTAGAGATGGACCCAACAAACCCTATATGACTATGCTCGACAAGGAACGTTCTATCCAAATATGTAAAAATATACAGGGTGTTCCATTTAAATTAACAAAGTTAACATCCGCGGCCATTTTGTTTGAACTTCATTTGTTTTTCTACTATCATATTCGAAAATTTCATAAAAAATCGTGCAACTTTTGTATTTCACATTTTTTTATAACTCTTAAAACAAAAAAGTTAAAGGGGGGTCAAAATATAGTGAATCACCCTGTACCTAGTTATAAGTCTGTGTAGAAATTTTATTATAAGCAGATACCTAATGTTGAAGTGATAAATTAATAGGAAGAACGCTTCTGTATCTTTAAATTAAAGCTTTTTTTTTTTTAAGATTTCTTCGGTTAAATTCCTTATTTACTATTTATTTAATTAAAAGACTGCATGATTAATGATTATTAATAATTATTATTGGAAGAAAACTACGATTCAAAAACATTGAAATAAACATAAGTATATTGAAAGTGTTTAATAAAAAAACAAGTTAAAGGTTTTTAAGAAGAAACTCAAAGTTTAATTTAGTTTTGTTAGTAGAAGTAGAAACATAAGTAATTAATAAAAATACTGAATAAATAATAAATGTTAATGATGATTGTTAAGTATAATAGCATGTTTATATTTCGCATTGCAATACCAAAATTATGACTTTTTTAAGTTTTAGAAATTTCTCGAGAATTCGAGAATTCCCGGGAATTCCTAGTCGAGAATTCTCGAGACCCGAGAAAAGAAATAGGCCCAGAGATATCAGAAACCCTATATAGTACTCAATGAAACGTGGTAGGTTTTGTTATACCTACTGGCTGCTATGGTACGTTGTTTATTATCAATTATTTAATAAATAGTTCTACCTGGATTTGGTAAAAATGCAAGAAAGTAATTGCCTTCCTGTGGTTGATTTTGAAGAAGCTCAAGAAGCAATTTTCCATTTATCGCCAGCGAAATCCAAGGAACATTACGAAAAAGTATTCGTCGAATTTAACGAATGGAGGGAAAAACGGAGAGTAATGACAATAAATGAAGAAAGAAGTCATGCTATCGCCTTTTTAAATTTGAAGAAAAAATATGCAATTTCATCTGTGGTCGAAGTATTCGATGTTGAAGGCTACTATAAAGGTCTACAAAAATATCGATATTGGAAAATATAACAACCTTACTGCTTATTTGAAGAGTGAATCGAGAGGAATGAGAGGATACAAAGCAAAAAAAAAAGCTGCAGTATTGGAAAGAGCACATATTGAAGAATTTTTTACTGGGGTTTCCGATAAAGAATATTTAATGATTAAGGTAATATCGCTTTACCTTTTACATGTTGTTAGACAGAGTGGCCAAATGAACACGAAACAGAGCCATTCTCAGGAACTGGGTCAAGATTGTAGAAAAACGCTCAGACCCGTCGATTTTAGATTAAAGGGGGAGATTCTTTGCTGGTATTTTTGACTACGCCACTTTCACCCCCAAGCAAGGGTAAGCATCACCCCAAAATATTTAAATGGCATTGGGGGTTGAGTAATATTTTATTTGAAAGTTCTTACAATTCTCTATACAACAGACTTTAAATTTTATAATTCCGCCCAATACTTTGAAAAAAATTTACATTTCAAAATTTAAATTATGTTTAGTTGCTTACTTATTACTTAGTTGATTAAATGTTCAAACTGATGACCGCCCGCTTCCATACAAGAATAAAGATTTTGTTCGAAACGTTCGCGCACATTTCGAAGCATTTCTTCACAAGCTTCGGCAGATGTTATGCGTTCCGAAAATGATGGCAACAATGCTACAAGGGTTGTTATTAAGGGAAAGGAAGTTAAATGTGATAAAACAAAAAACGATTTATTACTATAAATGTAAATGTTCATGCTAATAAGTAAATAAATTATATAAAATATATTGTAATTATTTATAAATTGAAACTTGATTAACATTAATCTAAGGATTAAAGTTAGCTCCTAGGATTAAAAGTGAATAATTTTGTTGCTAAGATATCATTTTTTTCTCAGTAAGGAAAATGTCAACTTTAGAGACTTCCGACAGTCAAAAAATGTCACAGTTTTGGACGGTTGGAAAAAGAACAGTCTTTCGAAAATTATTACAAAATAATAATGCCTAGATGTTTTTTCCTTCAAAATACTATGTAGTTTTCCTGTTTGTTAGTAAAATCACACTTTAAATGCTGTAAATATACATATATCGATATTGTATAATCAGGAAAAGCAGTATAATGATGTAGAAATAGTTTTGTATGGACTACGTTTATTGTCGGCTTTAAGTAAGTTGATAAAGTGACTAATTTGGGATGTTGACAACGTAAATTTGTTACGAGATATGCCAGGACACTCCTAGGTAAAATCCCAAGTTGTATGAGACAGCAATAATAAATGAATTATTACGCATCATATATCAATTAGATTTTTTTTTTTGAAGTGCATTTTAGTAAACAACCTCTTTTAATAACTGTTTTTTCAAATAACTACTGTTTTAGCGTTTGTAGTTAGCTAGATATTAGAGGAAGAGAGATGATCTTGTTGCTGCACCTATACAGGTTGCGCCAAATTTAATAATATATGTAATAATGTTTTTTCGAATTTTTAATATGATTATTTTCCCCAAAAAATGGTATTTGTTTGCATTTTTCCAATCAACGAAACTTTGAAAATTAACTTAATCCTTCCATGGTTAATATGATTTTAAAAAAGTGACTCAATCAAAAAATTATTTAGACATGTTAAGAAAAAAGAAAAATATATAATTTCACAAAAAATTAAAAATGCAAAATTTATCCTTTAATTGAATTTTAGCAAAAGGGTCAATTTCAATTATTCGGATCACAATGGAAGAAAAATTGCAGCGGTTTGAACTCTCGAGGGTTTCTTTGGGATGCTTTTAGGATAAAAAAATGAAAACATCCTCAGTCTATTCATTATTTGTAAAGTTATCTCAAGTTTAGTGAAAACCCTTAAATACGCTATTAATTATTTTTTTAATCAATTTTCCTGCATCGGCAATTTTTCTTTCAAAAAACGTCTTATAGAGAATATTTTGTAGTCTTCAGAACCCTGTTTAGATTTTCTGGACGATTTAGAAAAATTTTTTTTCGCTGGATTTCGTATGATTTTTTAAAGGTGGTAAACGATACAAATTTTTGACTTTCAGATCTTG